CCGCTGCCACCCCTGCATCTGCCCCGGCCCCGTCCCTGCGCCTCGGCTCCCCCGCCCCCCCAGATGCACCCCTACATCTGCCCCGCGTCCCCGCCCCCTGCGCCTCGGCCTCCCCAGACGCACCCCTCGGCTCCGCCCCCTGCTCCGAGGTCCCCCCCGCAGCTGCACCCCAGTCCCGCCCCCTGCGCCGCGGCCCCCGCGCCCCGCCCCTTGCACCTCGGCTTCCCCAGATGCACCCCCTCAGCCCTCCCCCTGCACTGCCCCGCCCCCTGCGCCGCGGCCCCCCCGCTGCACCCCTCGGCCCCACCCCTGCCTCTGCCCGCGCCCCGCCCCCGAGCCACGCCGCAGCCCTCCTCGCCCGCTGCCGGCTCCTCGCGTCCCAGCCCCGGCCGCCCGCGCGCTCCCGCCCGCCAGCCCGCCGCGCCCGTCCCCGCCGCCGCCCCGGCCCGGGCCCCGGCGGACGGCAGGCCCGGCACCTTCAGCTCGCCCAGCTCCGCCATCTTGAGGCATCGCGGGCGCGAGCGGGGCCGGCCAGGCCCAGGCACCGGCGCGCGACTCTCCGCCCCGCGCCGGCCGCCGACCGCGGCTGCTCCGCCCCGTCCGGCGCCCGCCCCCGGCCCCGCCCGCCGCGCGCGGGACGGCTCGGCCGCAGCCCCTCCCACCGGAACGGCCCGCACGGCTGGGGCCGCGCTGCGCGCCGGGTGGCGGGGCGGGCGCACGGCGCGAGGTCGCGGGGTCCCCGGCGGATAAGGGGGCGGCCCGGGGCCCGGGAGGGGCTGGCGCCGGGGGCGGAGGGAGGAGCCATCGGGAGGCGTCGGGGCTGCCGAGCCCAGCCGTGGGGGAGGGGCGCGAAGTTCCCCCGCAAGTTCCACCCGCGAGATGCGGGGTCGCGCCTCGGGGACGGGAGCGATCGGCCCGGTTTAGGGGCGCCCTGGAGCCGCGACCAGTTCAGTTCCGGACCCTGTTTCCCACCCCCAACCCCCATCCCCCCAACTACCGCACAGCCCCGGTCGGGCCGCAGCAAAGTTCGGCGCGGAGCGCGACTTACCGGCTCGGTTTCGGGGAGCGGGGACAGCGCTCCGAGGGGAGGGAGGGGGCGCGCGGCGCCTTCCGGCTGCACAGCTAGAGGTCAGTCCCGCCGCTGGACGCTGCAGCCGCGGCTCCGCCCGGCGGGAGCTCCGCCCGGCCAGCGCCGGGGCTGGGGCCGCCCTCCCTCTCCGGCCGGCCCGCCCGCGCGGCGGGAAGAGGGGAGGGGGCGGAATCTGGGGCGCGGGAGGGCGGGACGCCGAGTCGGGCGCTGGAGAAGTTAACTCCTCCGGGGAGCGGGTCTGCAGAGCGCGGGCTCGGACCTCGCGTTCCGGTTTCCGCTCCGGCCCCGGCGCTGGGAGGGGGCCGGCCGGGCATGAAACCGTGGGCCCGGGATCGGACTGCAGGGAGAGGTTCCCACTTGGTTGAGACCCTGGAGGAAAAGCCTGGGCTGCGAGAAGCCAAAGCGCACCTAAGCCCTCGCTCTACCTGTGGCCTCCGGCCCTCCGCCCCAAGGACACCCGAGACCCCAATCCTTCGGGGTTGCTGAAGGGGAAGAGGGGAAGTTTTCCTACCTCCCAGAAAAGACATCTTCCTGTCTCTCTCAGCTGCTTGCTTTCCTTCTTCCAAAGCCTTGGACTTGGCAAACTCCCCATTTCATTCCCCACCGAGCTAACCACGCACATGCAGGTCTCATGAAAGCACCCAAACAGGTACTGGCCGCAAATACGGCATCTTAGAGGTAGTTGGCTGGGATCTAAATGATAATGTTTTTGGTCGACAAATATTTGAATGCTGTTCAGAGATTGTTAGGTGCTGAGACTTGAAAGCCTTGCAGTGTAGCAACAGTGAGTGACAAGACAGTTAAACCCATAATCAGCATACAGAAAGTGCTTTAATAAATATGAATAATTTATCTAGCTTAAGCCTTCAGTGTACTCCTCCCCACGAGAACCCATCCACGCCGTGGGCCTGCAGATGCCAGCCTACCGATGTCCCAGGTACCTGTTGGAGTGGACCATGCCCGCTACTTCGTGGATTTTGTCCCTAGGGAAGATGTCCACTTTCATCTGACATCTTGGGTTCTTTCCTTCTTTAAAAAAAAAAATATATATATATATATATATATATATGGATTTCAGAGAGGGAGAGAGAGAGGCAGAGACAGAGAGAGAAACATCAATGATGAGAATCATTGATAGACTGCCTCCTGCACACCCCCTACTAGGGATCAAGCCCACAACCCAGGCATATGCCCTGACCCGGAATCGAACCATGACCTCCTGGATCATGGGTCCACGCTCAACCACTGAGCCACGCCAGCCAGGCTTTCCTTGCTTCTTTGCTGCCAGGAATGGTGGGACTTCAAGCTAAACTCACGTTCAAGTATTTGGTTCCTAATTCCAACTACTCACTCCAACACTTGAGTCTTCATCAGGCCATAAGCTCATTTTTTGTTCATGCCTCTAGATCAAAACTTACTATGGACTAATTTGTATCTTCTAGAATTTTCACTCATCTCAAAAGGAGAAGGATAGGGAGAAGTAAAAAAAGAGAGGCAGGTCCAGAGGCAGTCCATGCTCTCTCACGTTGCCCCTCCCTCCTTTCCTCTCTCCCTCCCTCCCTCCCTTTCTCTAAAATCAATGGAAAACATCCTCCGGTGAGGATTTTAAAAGAGACAGGGGAACTCTTTGGGAGTGATGGATATGTTCATTACCTTGATTGTGTGATGATTTCATGGGTATATACATATGTCAAAACTTATCAAATTGTACACTGTAAGTACATGCAATTATTGTATGTCAATTATACCTTGTTAAAGCTGTAAAAATATAAAGGAAAAAAGTTAACCTCACCTTCATTCCTGGTGATTTCATGAAGGAGGGATCTCCTTTAATAGTTTATTTGGGGTTATAAGTCCTAGCATCCTTACAGGACACTAGAAAACTAGGACCCAGGGCACCTGAATCTGATCCTACGTGCTGGCTCCATGGGCACAAGAACTTTTTGGTGCTTTCACTCTCCGTCTTCAGTGCCTGGTAGGTAGTAGACTCTAAATATCAGTATAATAAATGTTACCAGACAAAGGAGGGAAACTGCAAGTCAGGACCAAGTTCCATACTGAGGGTGTTCAGACATCCGGGCCCCATCATGGCCTACCAAGCTTCACCCATAAACTCCTACATCAGAAAATTGGGGGGCGAGGGGAAGTGAAAGAAGAGTATAAGCCCCTACAGAAGTCCCATTAAATGGAGGGCCCAGGAAGAAGGAACAGTAGGACTACAGTTACTTTGAGAAAGATTTATTTATGAAATCAAGAATTTCAGGGCCTGGGTTTTTGGGATAGCAGTTCATGGGGAGGTTGGGTTATTGGGAAGACCAGAAACTGGGGAAAGTTCCACTTTTGTGTTAACCTTAACATTGTGGCCCTAACCGGTTTGGATAGAGCGTTGGCCTGCGGATTGAAGGGTGCCAGGGTTCCATTCTGGTTAAGGGCATGTACCTTGGTTGTGGAGTAGGGAGTGTGCAGGAGGCAGCTGATTGATGTTTCTCATTGATGTTTCTAACTCTCTATCCCTCTCCCTTCCTCTCTGTAAAAAATCAATAAAATATATTTAAACACACACACACACAATGACCATTCCTATAACTCGGCCATCCTGGGATAAGCTTCTAGGAGCCCCAGAGGGAGCCGAAGGTCTGGCTGCCATTACCAAAGCTGTTTCCTGACTCATCCTTGAACTTAGTCAAATGATTTCCCCCTCTCTGGACCCCTCTCTCTGCAGTTTCATTTTTCCCACCCACACCCCTTGTGTCATAAGATACGTAATAGTTCTTTTCTGTTCTCTGAGAGCAGGAGGAGGTTCCCCTTCATAGAAATGATTTGGACCTTTTTCATGCTCTTCCTCTTGGCAGCTGCACCTCCTTTTCCCTTTCTGCATCAGTCCTTCTTGTCTCCATCCTCCCAGCCTTAAAGCAGTCCTGAGCCCAGCCACACGAACCCCACAGCTGACCCGCATCTTCTCTAGGGCCTGACCTACGCTGCTCTTTTCCTGGCCAAACGCAGCCGGACAGTGCAGCCCTGTGTGGGCCTCGTCTTCCATGGCAGCCCCTCCCCACTCCTCTCAACCCAGTCAGTCTCCTTACTGCCAAACCACTGTAGGCTGACACCCCACCCCACCCCCCACATACTCCAGCAGGGGCAGGCTGAGAAAAGGAATGGAGAGGGATCCTTGGGGGGGGGGGGGGGGGGGGGGGGGGCGCGGGGAGGCACCAAGCCAAAATTCCAGATTTTGGAGGGCTTCGCTGCCTCATTCTCACCTAGCAATTTGGCTACTGGACAAACAGGAAGGAGAGGAGACCATGGGAAGTGGCCAAGAGAGAGGCGTTTTTTTCAGTCTGAGAACAGAACCTCAGGGAAGAAGCCAACTTTGAGTGTCCCTTCATCCCTCTCCCTGGAATCAGACTTTTCATCCCTCTTTGCTCCCGGGGCAAAGAACACTGACCACATGAGACCATGTGCTTCCAACCTAAACCCATGGTTTAGCACATGATGGAATATTTTAGATTATACATCTCAGAAAATCCACGCCTCCCGGAGTCTCCTCCTCAAACAGTGGACTCGGGAGTCCCAAGGCAGAACGCGATTAGAGCTGTTGGTCAGTCAGAGACGGATTTGTTGAAGACAAAGGAAGGGTGCCCATCCCCATTTCCACAGAGGGCTGCTTTTCACACTGAGTCTTGACTCATTCGTGGATGTATTTTGACCAGTATTTTTTCAGTGGAGAATAATAGCAGAGAATAGGCTAGAATAGAAATAGTAAGGAGACATACTATTTCCGGTATGTCCACACAGGATGTAAAATGTATTTCTAACTGTGGACCATAAAGTTTAAAAGCTGCTGGCTGATGGAGCCATTTATGATGAAAAAGATTCCTGCCCCCACCTTAAACAGAAAAACAATGACACCTAGTATCGTGTTGCCCCTGCTTTATTTGTTACAGAGCTGGCTTCGATCAGTACCTCCTCTGGTTTCATCCATGCTGATTCCAGGGTTCCGATTCTCAGGTCTGCGCTCCCTCATGTCAGGCGAAGCTCACCCACACTATCCCTAATGGCCAACCTCCCCCCCACTACAGCCTGATGGAGCCTCTGGCAACCAGGGGTGCTCTTATTCCCTGCAAGAAGAAAGTCAAGGATGAAATGCACACACTTCCATATCCTCGGTCTCCTCCCGCCCATGCCAAGATGCCAAAGGGGATCCTCCTCGCTCTGGGCTGGGGAGCAATATGAGAGAAGACCATTCTTTGAATGCATGGTGTGGGGGTGAGGGAGAGAGTCTGCCATTTGTAGAGTCCTCCCCTAGGAAACAACTGTCCCACCATCACTCCTCGTTTACTGGCATCTCTATCCCAGACCGTAGAAGAGGCAACTCCCCTTCTGTCTCCATCCCAGGTCAGCCCCCTCGGGCACGGATTCCTGACTCCACCTAGTGATGCCCATTATTGTGACTTCTCAGTGACCCTCACTTCAGATGCTCAGGGGCACAGGACTCCCCAGTGTCAGCCACCACCTGGAGCAAACGGAGACTCCAGTTCCCATCCTGAGCCTCCTTTCCCCAGTCCTTTCTCCAAGCTCCTGCCCCCATCGGGCTCACCCACAACTCACAGGAGAGGAATCCCCGGCCCCTCCCGGCCCGCGCTGCCCCTCTTCTCCTGCCTGCTGAGGATTCGCAGCAGGATATTGTATACGTCTTGTTCCATGTAGCCCTGGGGGTGGCAGGAAAGAAAGGAAGGGAGAAGAACAGAAAATGGGGAGACAGGTGAGGGAGAGGCCCTGAGGAATGGTGGAATGCTGTTTGCTAAACGAGGACGAGCTCTAACTTAAACAGTATTTAACTTCAAGGATGTTTCCTAATCTTTTCAAGGAAAGCAATGATGTTTACTTTTCAGGCCTGCTGTGACGGTTACAACCCTGAATCTGATGCAAAGCTTCCGGTGCACAGTAAGCGTTAGATCCTTTGTAGTTAATAGTCCTAATAGAGGAGCGAGCCCCCCACCTCCTCTTCCTTGGTGAGGGGTACATAGGCCGAGGAGGGAATTGAGAAAGGGCATAAGGGACAGGAAAGGGCTTTACCGTGGGTCAGGAATTGAAAAGGGGGGGACAAACACCTCTCCCCCTCACATTCTCATATCTCAGGAGAGCCAGAGACCTGGCACTAGAACATCTAAAGGCTGGCTTTCTGGGAAATGACAAATATGTGTGGGTAAGAAAAGGGACCCCAAATGCAGTCCTCCCTACCCAACTCTCTGTGCCTCCCTCCCCCTTGCTCACCTGAGCAGCACTCAGGAGATGGTTTCTATAGGTAGAGATGATCTCTTCATGGTTCTTCTGAGAATCCTGGGGGTGAGCATCAATGGGGGTTATGTGCCCACCCTCCCATACTCACCCTGACCCCCAAGCATGAGGAACAATAAAATTAAGTGGTCAGCTGGGCCCGATGGTCTCCCTCGACCCCTCACTAGCCCAGCCTGGACCACTGCCTGAACAGGTCTCTGCGATTCCCAGAATTCTCCCACATCACTTCCCCTGTCCACCCTCTTCTCTAGCCGTGACCATTTCCCTAAGGGACAAAACATACCCGCAGCTGCGAGGCAAGGCGAGCATTTTCCCCCCGAACTGCTAGGACTTCCTCTGAAAGCTGCTCCACCTTCTTCAACAACTCCTTGATCTGAGGCCAAAGGGAACCAGTGAGGCCCAAGTCATGCCCACCCCCCCCCCCCACCCGCCACCACCCAGGGTCAAGGCCAGCTCCCCTTTGCTGAGTATGAACTATGTGCCAGATGCTTTTACACGCCTTGTCACATGTCATACTCAAAACAGCTCTACTTCTGTTCTGGGAGGAACAACACTTCTCTGAAGGAAGTAGTATTACTCACCTATTGTTAAATTAATTTGTCAAAATCATACAGCTAATAAGTGATGACATAGGACTTGAACCAAGATCTTTTTGACTTAATGGTCCATGCTCTTAAGTCTGCACTGGGTCCTGAACCACTTCTGGCTGCTGACCGCTGAGCGAAATGGAGATGAGTGTTTGTGGTTGTGAGGCTACCGCACAGATGCGGTTAAGGATAACCAGCAGGAGGAGGGGTGGTGGGAGTGAGAATAACAAAAATACCTGATTGAGCACTTACCACTTTCAAAAAATCATTCCGAGGATTTTAAATACAATGTCTTATTTAATGTAATCCTCACAGCAACCCTAATAGTAGCCTCATCTTATACATGAAAAAACCTGAGACTTGCAGACTCCAAGGCTCACTCGATTTTGCAAGGATCGCGCTATGTTCTCTGGGTCTAAGGTGCTTTGGGTGTTAAGATTGGAGGTGAGATAACTCACTCGTTCAATCAGTACGTTTTGAAACTGAAATAGAAATCCAGACGATATCAGTCCAACATCCACTACACTATTTTCTTTTACCCATTTGCTCTCTTTCCTCTTCTCCTTCCACACCAACAGAAACCCGTCCTTTCTTTAATTGGCCCCACCCCACACTGATTCCTATTCTGTATAACTTTTTTTCTATTTGTATGCACTGTGTGTTATGTAAAACATGTGCTCCCTATATTTTTGAATCATTATACATTTGATCATGTACACAAATTTGAATAAGAAGTCTGAATTCATTTCACAGGTAAAGTTCTAGAATTACCAAATTCATTTATAAATTGATTTTTTTTTTTTTTTAAGAATTCATAAAACATGCCCCTAGACCAGCCGTGGGCAAACTACGGCCCGCGGGCCGGATCTGGCCCGTTTGAAATGAATAAAACTAAAAAAAAAAAAGACCATACCCTTTTACGTAATGATGTTTACTTTGAATTTATATTAGTTCACACAAACACTCCATCCATGCTTTTGTTCCAGCCCTCCGGTCCAGTTTAAGAACCCATTGTGGCCCTCGAGTCAAAAAGTTTGCCCACCCCTGCCCTAGACACATGCAGAGTGGTGACTTTTGGAGCAATCATTAGGAAACTCGGGTATGGAACACGGCGTTTTTCAAACTTGTTACTTTGCATTGGCGCTCTCTGCCAATGGGAATCTTTTGCAGAATCTACTCGGGTTGAAGGGAAGGTGAAGTGGGCCTGTAGCCTGGTCTACTTTTCTTAATCAGCCGTGAATCACCTTCTCAGAACCTTAGCAAAACCACAGCAACCACTGTATCATCAGACCTGCTCTCAGGCTAAAGCATGATCTAAGTGAAAATGCTAATAAACCACAGTACTCCACAGGTGGTAGCCCCACCACATGGCTTCTAAAACCAGAGTCCAGATTTTAACACCTAAGCCCCTTTCTCTCTTCTATTTACACCTCACCTCCAATATATATATATATTGATTTCGGAGAGGAAGGGAGAGAGAAACATTAATGATGAGAGAGAATCACTGATCCGCTGCCTCCTGCACGCTCCACGCTGAGGATCCAGCCCATAACCGAGGCACATGGCCTGACTGGGAATGGAACCTGACCTCCTGGTCCATAGGTGGATGCTCAACCACTGAGTCACACTGCCAGCCCTCACCTGCAATCTCAACCCCAAACCACCTTAGACCCAGAGAACATAGCGCCATCCTTGCAAATGGCTGGCGTTCTGTTTGGGAGGGATTCACCTGACGAACCAAAGGTAGGTGCAGTTAGCAAACCTCCCCCGGCGCCCGATCTCATCACCTTGGCCTCCTTGTCCTGGCAAGCCCCCAGAAGATGCTCCATCTTCTCTCTCAGCAGCCCCACCGTTTTCTCAAACTGCTCCGTGCGCCCGCGCATCTCGCTGGCCTGGCGCTCCTGCTCCGTGGCCCGGGCCGCCAGGTCCCCGCTTCGGCAGCGCTCGTCGGCCACGGCCTCCTGCAGGCGGCCCACCTCGCGGCAGGCCGAGTTGTACTTCTCCAGCAGGGCCTTCAGCTCCTGGCCCCACGCCTGGGCCTGGGCCGCCAGCGAGCTGCGCGCCCGCTCGTGCTGCCGCAGGCTGGCCGCCTCCCGCGCGCGCAGCTCGGCCACCTCCTCCGTGGCCTGGTACAGCAGCTGCTTCAGCTTCCCGATCTCCTGGCTCTTCCCGCGCATCGAGGCCTGCACGGCGCGCAGCTCCTCCTCCAGCTGCCCCAGGTCCTGCTCCAAAGCGGCCACCTCCGGGGGTGCTGTCACCTGGGAGGAGCGGCCCGGCTCCGGGTGCCGGCCGGGGGCTCCCCGCAGCCGCTGGTTTTCCTCCTCCAGCCTCGCCAGCACCTGCTGCGCCTCGCGGTGCCTGGCGACCAGGGCGCTGATGCAGGCCTGCAGCTCCTGCAGGGGCTCGGGGCCGGGGCCCCGGGCACCGGCCTTGCCCACCAGGTCGGGGGGCAGGCAGTCCCACAGCCCTCGGAGGCCGCTGCTCTGGGACGCCAGGTGCCTCCGCAGCTTCTCGGTGGCCTCCTTCTCCACCGCCAGCTCGTCCGTCAGGAGCCCCACGCTCCGCCGCAGCTGCTGGAGCTGGACCTGCGCCACGGGCCGGGGCACAAACTCCCGCTGCAGCCGCTGGCTCAGGGACTGCAGCTCCCCTTGCAGCCGCTGCCGCTCCCGGCCCAGCTCCCCCAACTCCTCCAGCAAGTTGCTGTTGCTCAGTCTCAGGGCCGACACCTCCTTCTCCAGCATTCCCTTGGCCAGCCCTCCTCCCGGCGTCTGCGGCCTGCCCGGGGCCCCTGGAGACTCCCGCTGGGTCCCGGGAGCCCCCGTCGCCTTCTCTCCATCCTCTTTGGGGATGGTGTCTGAGCCTGCCTTTGGGGCTCCTTCTCTGGACTCCTGGGCAGGGGTCGCAGGGGTCGCTCGCAGCCCCGCCTTGGCCCGATCCAGCTTCAGCAGCACCTGCTCCAGCCTGGCCTCCATCTTCTCCCAGGCGGCCGCTGTGGCCTCCGCCCGGGACTTCCCCAGAACTCCCTCCAGGACGGGTCTTGACAAAGCCCCCAGGGCAGCATCCTTCTCTCGCCACGCGGCAGCCAGCTCCTCCCTCAGTTGTAGCAGTAGCTGGTTCATGGCTGCTATGCCCACTGCTTCAGCTGCTGTGCCTGCTCTTTCCGCCCCTGGGGCCTTCGGCCTCTCCTTCTGGCCAGCATGCGGCTGGTCTGCATGCTCAGGGCCAAGGGCCTGCCCACCGACAGTCGTCTGTTGCTGCCCTGTGGCTTCCCCCGGGATCTCAGACACCGGGCCCTGGGGTGGCCCCTGTTCTGGTTGGGACCTTCCATGGGCTTCATAATACATCTCCCAGGGGGCCGAATCTTCGGTCTTCTTGGCAGCTAACACTGGGTTGGCTGCGGCTGCGGCTACTGCCTGCTGCTGCTTCTTTAGCTCTCGTATGCCCTCAGCCAGCAGGTCCAGGGGGCAGCCCTGCTCCATGCCATCCCCTCCAGGACGGATACCAGGACTCGGCCCGCCTGGAGCTCTGGGCTCCCGGAAGAGCAGCCGCCCCAGCTCCTGCACCTGCTCCCGGATCTGGTTGGCCAGGCCCAGGTAGGCTGCAGCCTGAGCCTTGCTCTCTTCTGTCTTTCCCATCAGCTCCTGCTCCAACTGAGAAACTTTCTTCTGCTCCTCCTCGTACTTCCACTTCCACTCCTCTGAGCACACATCCTCTCGCTCCTTTTCCTGCTCCACCCCGGGCTCTGCCCCCCGGGGGCTCTTGGGCGGAGAACCCACCGGAGGTTCAGATGGAGAGGCCTGTGTAGGAGACAGAAGAGTGACTGACGGGGAGCCAGGGCAGCTATCCCAGCCCCGGGAGGGCCTCCCGCCTGGGAGGCATCCCGGTGGGATGGCCTGGGTGGGTCGGAAGGGAGGCACTGAGGGTCTTACCTTAGATGCAGCATCTGGGTGTTGAACTAGCCCCTGACCTGTATGAAAAGACATGAGGACAATGTGACTCTCACTGAGAGGAGTGGCCGCAGTGTCCTAACCCTCACCACACAGCCTTCCTAGAGCCGGGAGCCACTCCTCTTCAACCCAGCAGCCTTGCTTCCTGCCCCAGCTCACTCATTTTGTTCACTCACTTTATTGGACACTATACCAGGCGCTGTTATAGGCACTAGGATATCAACAGTGAATAAAACAGACATGGCCTGTCATCTGGGGCGTTTACAGTCCAGCGGGGGGAGAGATTGACTGGGAAACCACACAGAGATGTTCAATCACAGCTCAGGAGTCCTAGCGATAGCGCCAGCCAGAGCTGCCTTGAGTAAGACAGGGCTTCATTAAGGAACTCGGTGGCCCTGCTTTGGGGAACGTGGGGTCATCTCATAGCAGCAGCAATAAATAAGCAAACTCTGGACCACGGTGGCAATTATTCGTCAGGTGGACTGTTTCCATGGGGACAAATGGGCTTCTAAGGAGCTTCTCTGAGCCACTGGGGAGGATCTTGAAGATACAAAAGGGAACTGGCTCACCTCCCCGCCGCCAGCTCAGGGCCTGCTGCAGCAGCTTCCGCAGTGCCTTGTCCTGTGTGCGCAGGCCGTAATACAGAGCATCGTGGCCCGCGCTGTCCACCGCCCCCGCGTCCGCTCCATGGCTCAGGAGCAGCTCAGCCACTTCGGCGCTGCCGTTCTCGCAGGCCAGGATCAGAGCTGACCTGTGGGTTAGGACAAATATATACATATATTCAGAGAGGAAGGGAGAGGGAGAGAGAGATAGAAACATCAGTGATGAGATAGAGTCATCGATTGGCTGCCTGCTGCGCACCCCACACTGGGGACTGAGCCCACAACCTTCTGGTTCATAGGTCAACACTCAACCACTGAGCTATGCCAGCCGGGCGAGACCAGAACTTTTCAAATGCCATTCCTGGAGCTGCAGCATCAGAAAGCAGGGCCGATGGCAAGGGCTTCATTTTTCTCTGCTCTACATATTAAGATTCTGCATAAATTCTTCATTGGAGAGAAGGGTTTCATTGCTCGGAAGATAGTTTGAAAACCAGTAAATTAAACTAATGAGTCCGGAGGTATTGATTCTGCTTCCCAAGTTAGGAAGCTGGTGGTGACAGCAGCTGAATAAAAGAGTATAAGGAAAACTTTCTTCCCGTCTCAAGAGGAAAACAGTGAAACAGAGGAGATCTCTTGTAAGCCACCACTCAGAAGGAAAGAGACCAAGAACACAGAGACCAACCTGCACACACACACACACACACACACACACACACACACACACATGCACGCTTTGTCCAGTGGCTCCTTCCTAGATGAGCCAGGGCCTGGATTGGGCTGGGAAGACGGGGAGGGCTCACTTGTCATCCTTGTCTGTGACATTGACTCGGGCGCCTCTCTGCAGTAACTGTGAGCAGATAGCTGCGTGACCGCCCAGCGAGGCGATCATCAGGGGTGTGCGTCCATCCTGCACAGATTGTGGAAAGAGAGTTCATGAGAAGCCAGAGGTTTGCACGATCCTACCAGCTCCCTCTCCCCACACCTCTCCAGGAGAAAAGCCCAGCCTAGGGGCTAAACACCCCTTTGGAAGGGTTGAAAGCACTCCAGAAGATAAGGCTTACCCTCTCTGTGAGGAAGAGGAGCGGGAGGGAGGAAAGGTGGTGCTGTCCAACCCCTGCTCACAGAAGTTAGCTAATCAAGCTCAGGGAGAGCAGCAGCCCGCCGGTGCAGGGCACTGGCCAGGGTCCCGCTGACACTCACATTGTCCAGGACATCCAGGAAGGCCTCATGGTCACACAGCAGGAGCACACTTGAGGCACAGCCAGAGGAAGCTGGGGAGGGTTGAGGGATGGTTGGGCGAAGGGGAGCAGGAAGTGCACCTAGTCAGATCGTGACCCAACATCCCCTCCAACTATCTTAGTATCAGCCCTGCCCTCTCCACCAAACGTTAGCCTCCCCTCCCTGCCTCCCCTATCTTCCCCGCAGCCCTGTGCCCACAGTCTCCTGGCACACACCTGCCCAGTGCAGCGGACTACGATTTTCTGCATCCACAGCATCTTCATTGGCACCGTGCTGGGAAGAGCCACAAAGGGAAGCCGCATGGAACAGAGTGTTAGCGTTCTCATCCCATACCCACCGTGGGGTCCCCAGCTTCCTAATTATGACAGGGAGGGGTGGGAGGATCATAGCTTTGTCCAACTGCTCGGCAGGCCCATTCCATTTCTTACAGGTGACAGGCAGCCTTGAATTTCAGCCCTGGTTCTTAAGCCTAGGGCCTGAGAAACATCCGGTTACGGATAAATAAGCCTGGTAGGACAGTAACGCCCGGGTCATTGCCGGTACTTTAGGATCGTAATTGGGAATCTTGCAAAGGGCTGGGAAGAACAAAAGCAGAACGGCCGTGGGCCCAATGACTTGTTGGCCTTCATACTTTTGGAAACTTATTTATTAATTGTCCACATGTCATTTCACATGTATATTTTCCTTTGTGCTCTAGACTATGAATGCCTCAAAGACAGACAGTAGGATTTTGGTTTAATTTGAAACTCTCTGCCCTCCTTCTGCCTGCCCATCATCATCACAGCAGCCAGTCTCTGAAGTGGCTCACCAATGGCGGGGCTCAAAACAAGCATATTGCCCTAACCAGTTTGGCTCAGTGGATAGAGCTGCAGACTCAAGGGTCCCAGGTTTGATTCCGGTCAAGGGCATGCACCTTGGTTGCGGGCACATCCCCAGTGGGGAGTTTGCAGGAGGCAGCTAATTGATGTTTCTCTCTCATCGATGTTTCTAACTCTCTATCCCTCTCCCTTCCTCTCTGTAAAAAATCAATTAAAAAAAATAAAAATAAATAAAATAAAATAAAAAACATGCATATTGACTGTGGGGCAGTCAGTCCCTGCCAACTCTACTTTATGACCTGCCCTCAAGGGCAGCATAAGTGCAGGGCCTGCACATAGTAGGTGTTAAATAAATGTTTGTGAATTAAAGAATCAATTATCACCAGCTCTCTCAGTGAGGAGAGAGGTATATTTGATTAAATATTGCTTGTGACTTCAAACAAAGTTTGGAAACTCGGGGTCCACTTCTTCCCTTCACAGGAGGAGTATCGAGGGGTTGCTCTACCTGCAGCAGGACCTTGACGCACTGTGGCTGGCAGGAGATGGTGGCCAAGTGCAGGGCGGTGCTTCCTGGAAAGAGGAGGAGGAAGAGAGGCAGGTGGGTGGCCCTATGCGGGCCAGTGACTCACAGGGAGGGAAGGCAAGAGACGAACAGATAATCAAAGGGAGATTAGAGAGAGAAGCTCTCAGGCACATGGGGCCAGAAATTCCTGTTCCCCAGGTGCCCGGTACACGTGGTGGAGGTGGAGGGGGGTAAGGTGTACCCAGCTGACAGGGAGGGGAACCTCTGGAGGGTGCCGGCCAGGCTTTCTGAGGAAAGAAGCAGGGGCTGATTGGGAACCTCCAGCAGGGCCCCGCACCGGCCCCCACGGCTGCCATAGAGGGAAAAGCAAGCAGCATGGCCCAGTCTGACTCACCGTCCTCATTCTTGCTGTTGATGTCGGCCCCATTGGCAAGCAGGATAGTCAGACATTCTGTCAGGCCCTTGGAGGCTGCCAGATGAAAGCTGCAGAAGGATGAAGGGACCAGGGGATGAGGAATGGGAGAATCTTCGTAATCTTAATAATCACTGCCTGCTACACCAAGGCCAATCCCAAGAGCAGAGAGGGAAACTCCCCTGGCCCGACTTACTGAGAAAGAGAGGGCTCTAAGGCAGTGATGGCGAACCTTTTGAGCTCGGCGTGTCAGCATTTTGAAAAACCCTAACTTAACTCTGGTGCCGTGTCACATATAGAAATTTTTTGATATTTGCAACCATAGTAAAACAAATATTTATATTTTTGATATTTATTTTATATATATAAATGCCATTTAACAAAGAAAAATCAACCAAAAAAATGAGTTTGCGTGTCACCTCTGACACGCGTGACATAGGTTCGCCATCACTGCTCTATGGCCTACTGTCATGAGTGAGAGGATGCTGGAAGCAGATATAGAAATAAGAGCTACGGGTCCCAAGCAATGTCAGACTATGGCAGGGCGTCCAGGCCCCTTCCCAGACTGGCCGTGTCACAGGAAGGGTCAGCCAGACCAGAGCAGAGGGCTGGACAGGGGAAGCCGACTTGGGCAGAGACGAGAAGCAATATCCTTCTTGTCCTACTCACTCCTCTTAGCCGTGTGACTCTCGTAGCTACCACTTCATTCTGAACTTTCCAAGCACACCCCCCCTCCTCTCTGTGCAATGCAGAAATACTCGATTTACTGTATGGGTCCGTTTCCTGTTTGTTTCGTGGGCTTTATGTCCTCTTTGGTCAGTTTTGTAAGCTGGGTTGTGAGGTGGATGGAGCTCAGAGACAATATCTTCTTCCCTCACTTTGTGCCGCACTTGATAGGTAGCAAAGACTTATTAGGACAAAAAGGGCCTTGAAGTTGTAGGCGTTCCCTGTCCTCTGACATATTGGGGTTGGAGTTTTCAAAGGGAATCACATGCCAAAGGTGGGTCCCGGGGACGGACTTACGGGGACTGGCCGTTGGCGTCTAGCTTGGTGGGTCGGGAAGACTTCCTGGAGGCCAGGGCGGCCACGCGCCCCACGTCCCCCCGCTGCACGGCCTCCAGCAGCTTCTGGTCACGGCGGTTCCATCTCTCCACCTGGTGCAGAGCCACAGATTGTGGTTTAGGTGAGGGTGGAGTGGAGAAAGGAAGGAGACTGCCCTAGCCAGTTTGCTAAGTGGTTAGAGCAGGGGGGGGTTCCTCAAACTTTTTAAACAGGGGGCCAGTTCACTGTCCCTCAGACCGTTGGAGGGCCCGACTATAGTTTTAAAAAAAACAATGAACAAATTCCTATGCACACTGCACATATCTTATTTTGAAGTAAAAAAACAAAACGGGAACAAATACAATATTTGTATTTGCATGTGGCCCACGGGCCGTAGTTTGAGGACCCCTGGGTTAGAGCGTCGGCCTGTTGACCAAAGGGTCCTGGGTTCAGGTTCCGGTCAAGGGCACATACCTTGGTTGCAGGCTCCTCCCCCAATCGGGCCCTAGTCGGGGCTCGTGCAGGAGGCAACCAATCCATGTGTTTCTCTCACATTGATGTTTCTCTTTGTCTTTCCCTCTCTCTTCCAATCTCCCTAAAAGTCAATGGGAAAGTATCCTCGGGTGAGGATGGACAGAAAGGAAGGAGATGGTTAGGAAGATGCCAAGCCAGGGGAAAGTAACATCCCTGAGGGCCTTTCAATGTCCCAATCAGCCTAGATCACATGGTCCTCATTAGGTGAGCAGTTACATACCACCAGTTCATATGCCACCAAGCACCTCTTCTGGTTATTGCCAGCCCTGGATCAGAAGGTGCTTGGACTACTGAATTAAAAATCGTTTTGAGCCCTAGCTGGTTTGGCTCAGTGGATAGAGCGTCAGCCTGCAGACTGAAGGGTCCCAGGTTCGATTCCGGTCAAGGGCATGTACCTTGGTTGCGGGCACATCCCCAGTAGGGAGTGTGCAGGAGGCAGCTGGTCGATGTTTCTCTCTCATCCATGTTTCTAACTCTCTATCTCTCTCCCTTCCTCTCTGTAAAAAATCAATAAAGTATATTTTTTAAAAATCGTTTTGAGTGCTGGATGCAGAGCATTTCAGATGCCTTTTTAACCATCATTATGATTATCCTTTGGGTGCACAGCCTCAGACTCCCTTCCCTTTTGCTCTCGGGGTTTTGCTGGAGCAAACGGAACCAACTGACCACTCCTGATTGGGCTCCCATTGCCTCTCAGCTTCCCATGCTGCTCTGCTTTTTGTCTTCAGATATTTGGGGAATCAAGGCACCTAACGTCAGGTCACAGCCCTGAGTCCCACTATCTACCCATTGGCTTTGGGCCCCAAAACTGGGAGGAGAAGCACAGGGTTTCGGTTTTCCCATCTCATATCTCTGCCCATTACCTAGTTGCTCTTCCCTTTCAGGGCAACCACCGCCAAAAGGCAAATACAGGTCTCTCCTAGGTTTGAGGAGGCAGCAGAGGCCTCTCGCCTACCCCTCCCTCCCCACCTTCCCCTGCTTCTGACAGGGAGCAGCTGTCCCAGATAAGGCCACACCTGGGCATGCATTGTTCCATTATTTCAGCGTGACTTTCTCCAGGTGATGGGGTAATTACAATAATTGAAGTATCACAGGGTGTGAGAGGGAGAGCTGGGTAAAACCATCCAGGGCTAAAGGCACAGAAAAGCCTGGTTTGACCCAGAGAAGGTGAAGGAAAGGAAGAGGGGATGCAAAGACCCGTGGACGGTGAGAAGGGCCGCAGGGGGGCTTTGTTAGCAGGCCCGAGTTTGGGGTCTGGTTCAGCTACATTCTCAGCTGTGTGACTGACCTGGAGTAAGCCTTTTCACACCTCTCACCTGTCTCCTCCTCTGTCACGTGTGGAAAAGAAAGACTGCCTCGTCGTGCTGTGAGCAGTAAATGAACTAATGTGTATAAAATCTCTTTTGTAAACTGAAGAGCTACACAAGTGCATGGCATCCTTATAACAAAACAGGAAGTGCCGGGCTTTGCTGGAGGCACATTGCATTTTATGGGTATAATCTCAACAAGGAAGAGGCTATGGGAGGAGGTGGAAAAATATAGGGCCAATGGAAGCCAAATAACTCATTTTCAGATACTGTTTACATAGCTAGGGCACATTATCCATCAAAAAACAGGACAGATTTTAAATGTCCCAACCATAAAATGACCCAGGGGAGATGGTTTAGGGGTGAGACGCCAGGACACACTTGTAAATCCTCAGAGGCCTTTACGCTATTTCACTTGATGCTATTTCAACCAGCCCCTCAACCTCCCTGGAAAGTGGTGAGGGCTGATATTATTTTATCTGTGTGACAGAAGACGGAACCAAAGCCCACTGAGGTCAAATAACTGTGCAGACACACCACAACAGGGCAGGAACGCTGAGATTAGAACCGAGGCCCCCTGCTGCCCAATGCCAGTTCTTCACCACCAGACCACACTCCTACCCAGTGATGGGAGACATTTTACCTATTTCCAAATAAGCAGCCTAAGACTGCCTCAGGGCAGGGCCGCCCACTCTCAGACGCTACCTTTCTGCACAGAGAGTCTCCAAGCAGGTTCGTTCTCAAAGGACAAAATAAGCAAAACGATTGCTCCACATACCAACAGACTGAGGTGTAAGAACACCTTATTCAGCGTCCCTTGGGTGCTGGGTCACCCTCAGAACAAGCAGAGAGCTAGCACTACGCCTTCAGCACAGCCACTGCGGTCAGCTGACCTCAGTGTGAAGTCCTCCGTTTAAAATCCCGATTCTAACACTTCCTATCCTTGTGAATTTAGGCATGTGAAAACTTCTCTGAACATCAGTTTCTAAATGACATAAAGCACCTAGCACTGTCTGGCACATAGTAGGTTCACAATAAATGTTTGTTGAAGCCCCATTCTTTTAGCCTTTTGGGGCTATGGACGAAAGGGGCCACATGCTGACCTGACAAGGTCAGGGAAGGCCTACATGGCAGTCTTGCAAACTCAGAGACCTAAAGTCACCACAAAGGATGGTCTGAAATGAAACTTTAACTAAAAGCAGTTATAGCAGGTAATTACATCGTAGGCCGGTATCTTCACTGACAAGGTCAACCTTTACCTTAACTGAGCCAATCTGTCTTTTTGTATCTATGATAGCATACCCTTGAAATGTCTGGGTAAGTTGTAACTTCCCTTTTTCTGGACCCCTTGGGGCACAACCTAATTAATGTGCTTGGGCTCCAGGACAGACACCACAAATTCCTTCATTGTTATGTTAATTGTTCCTGCACCCACCTAAGTATGTGTCAATCATTTTACTTTTTATCCAATCCCAGGCGTTTCCCTGCTTTGCTTTCTCCCGCCTCTCTAGTCTATCACCAATGAATTTCATGTAACCCACCTATGTCCCTTTCTTTTGATTGCAATGTATAAATACAGATGTAACCAGCCGTTCTCCGGAACATTCTCTCAATTCATTGAGGTTCTGCTTCCGGGCATATGTCGACAGTTTGGCTCAAATAAACTCACAAAAATTCTTTACAGGTTTCAATGTTTTTTTTATGTTAACGGGGGCAAATTTGGAGTTCCTGGGCTCAGAATTCTCCGTACAGGGGAGTGGACGGAAGAGATCTTGCTCATATCAGCCAATGCTTAACAGCTAGGCTGTCTAGATGATAACAGTGTTTCCTAGCAAAGTAGACACTTTTCTTTCCAGATAGACAGTTCTAAACCCACTGGATTTACTTCCTACAATCTTGTTATACGAAGAAGAATTTAGAATAGGTGGAAATTCTTCATGGCCAAAGCTCTGCGGAGCAGGGTGGAGAAAGGCAGAGATATGCTTCTAAATTCCAAGATCTAGTCCATTGCTCACCCAGCACCTTGGAAAAGAGGTCCTGGATTACCATCACAGCCTCAAGGGAGCAATTACCAAATTAATCAGCAGATTCAAATACAAGAATAAGCGTTGTATTTCTGTAGTTAAGATTAGGGGGCCTTGGTAAAAGTAATTGCAACTTCTCTCTGGCTGTGCACCCGTAAGCTTCCCACCAAGACACAGCACACCAACAGCAGAGGAAGAGTGGCCACCGGAACCAGGAGCTGACTCTCAGTTTTTAAAATGCAACTGACATTTCTCTAAACTGATTCAGTCCCAACTGTTTAAAGCTATTTTCTGGCCTACTTCCTGCAAAGGCAGAGTAAGCTAATATGTAAGACGCCCTCCTCAAAAGCTTCCTTTACTTGACTAAAATAAGGTTATAACAGCTGATTTTTGTCTGTTTGCTCAATTTCCTATATTCTGGATAACTTAGATTAGTTTTAAAATGATCAGGCTCCAGCCTGTGTGGCTCAGTTGCTTGAGCATCATCCCATGCACCCAGAGGTCGCTGGGGGTTCGATTCCCATTTGGGGCTCCATTCCCAGTAGGGGGTGTGCAGGAAGGCAGCTGATGATGCTCTCACATCGATGTTTCTCTCTTTCCCTGTCCCTCCCTCCTTCCCTCTTTAAAAAAAATCAAGCCCTAGCCATTTTGGCTCAGTGGATAGAGTGTCAGCCTGGGGACTGAAGGGTCCCAGGTTCAATTCCAGTCAAGGGCACATGCGTGGGTTGCAGGTTCAATCCCCAGTAGGGGGTATGCAGGAGGCAGCCGATCAATGATTCTGTCTCATCATTAATGTTTCTCTCTCCCTTCTCCCTTCCTCTCTGAAATCAATAAAAAAATATTTTTAAAAAATCAATAAAAAATCTTACAGAAAAAGAAGAAAAGAAGATGATCAGTGATTTTTCAGTCTTTATCTCCATTTGAGAGTGAAGGGCTCTGGCCCTGGACCCAGTGGGGTGCGGATGGGCAGGGCCAATCCAGTGTGACTGGGAAGCCAGGCTTTAGGAGTGACCAGGGAGGTTGTCACGCTATTTTATTTCTCTGACAAACGGGTCCAGAGTGGTTAGCGACGTGGGGAGTGGAGGAATTTATCTTAAGAGGTATGAGGAAATTTATGAGGAAACAATTTGCCACTGAAACTGGCCTATTACCAAGCATTCAGCGATCCTATCCCGACTGAGGAAAGAGTTTTCTCCCAGACAGTTCTAAATCCACCCAATTTACTTCCTATAACCTTGTGATGAGAAGGAGAGTTTAGAATGGGCAGAAATCCTTCCTGGCCTAAACTTTGTAGAGCTGGATGAAGGACGGAGGAATCCTTCCAAATTCCAACATTCAGCCCGTAGCTCACCCAGCATCTTGGAAAGGAGGGCACTGACCAGGGATTGGAAAATCAGGTAGAATGAAGTAGTGTCCCCGTTCCTAGGCACATGCAAGACTCCACAGACCTGAAAGGGAGGGGCACCGTGGAGGACTTTCAGTAACTAGGGAAGCGTCCATGTGAATAGGAAAACCATTATGAGTTAGCACAGAGTCTGGGTAGCCTCCGTTTCCGGTTCCCATAATAGTCATTCAGTGGAACGCCTTTTGATTGGCTGATCAATGTGTAGAAACAAAGTGGATAAGCAAATACAAGTGGGACAAGGACAGGCCTCAACAGAGTTCCTGCTGTTGCCTCATAGCTCGCTTCCAGGCTCCTGTGGCCTGCCCATGCCGGGCGGGCGCGCTCAACATTTCCCACGTTGGCTCAGAGTGACATCACTAAGTCAGGCTGGGCCAAGCGGTATCATACAGGTCGTTGGCATGCCCAGTACTTAATTCCAATCTCCACAGAAAATGTGGTCCCCAGGTTGGGGGTCTCTCAGGAAGAGATCTTCAGAGAAGAAAGGATACTCTTCCTAAGCCACCACCTTCTGTAATCTTCCTTGTGTTTTGTTCTGGGAGAGGACGGAGCGTAGAGTGGCTTCTGCTGGGAACTCTGAGTGAGTCCACTCTCTTCTCACCGCCACCTCCCCCCGACTCAGTCAAAGGAAGCAGGACAAGCCCTCACCAACTGGGTGAAGGTGTAGAGTGAAGGAAGATTCTGGGGAGAAGCAGGCGGAAGGCCCTGACTGGCCCAAGAACCAGTCTGATGACCAGACACTGCAGTGACCTGGTCAGGGTGAATTCTGCAGGCCACTTCCCCGGATCTGGGCACCGTGCCTTCTCTGGCAGAGCCGGCGAGGCTGGCCAGACTGTAAGATTAACCCACAGAGAGCAGGCGGGTCAGGCAAAGGGGGGAACAGTGGGGTTCAACAACCATGGGGCAGGAGGGGCAGAAGCTGAAGGGAGAACAGGAGAAGGCTGCTGGTGGGGAGCACCCATTAGAAAGAGGCGTGGAGTGATGTCTGAGAGCCTGCGGTAATGGGGAGAGGATGGGCGTGGAAGAGGCACGGGTGCAAGGATGGAGACGAGTCCTTGAAGAAGGGCTAGGGAAGGCACGGGGCTGGGAGTACTTGCTGGGCTGAGAGAAAGCAGCAAGAATAGGACCATAGGGGAGGGGAGGGTTGTGAGGACAGCACAGGACTGAATTTGGGCGACAGAATGGAACTTAGGGCTGAGCTGGGGCTGGGGACAGTACGGAAGCTTGAGGATGGTTCAGAACCGAGAGACTGAGCTGAAGTAGAGGACAGGCCTTCGGAAGGGTAAAGGGCTGCAGGAAGCATACTAGAGCTGGGATTGTAGGTGACAGGAGGACAAGCAAGGGCCAAGGGGAAGCACCTTGGGGAGGTCAGAGGTTAGCAGAGGCTGGGGACAGGGTCTTGAGGGAGGCAGGAATGGCGAGCTGCATTGCAGGAAGGAAGATCTGGAAAGACCTATAAAGGGAAAAGGCAAATGGTGCCCCGGGGTGGGACACAGGACTCCTGTCACCACAGGGCTCGGACCCTAGCCCCGTTCCCATACTCCCAGACATTTTGGCACCTACCGCCACCTGTGAGCTGGAGCAGGAGAAGAAGCGCTTCATGGCCGCGGCCAGGGCCAGGGCCAGGGCCACGGGGGGACGGGGACGCGCGGAGAAAGGGGCCACAGGATCCCGAACCCACTGAACTCAGTCGCGGCTGTGCCGGGGCAAGCTGTCAAAAGCAGAGCCGTCCCGCCCCCAGGGCCGCCGCGCTCAATCAGAGACCAGACCCGCGGGCTGCGCTGAAAACTCCGCCCCTGGCCCTGCCCGCTCCGCCGCAGCGGAGGCAAAAAGCCTGCAGTCTTGGGCGGCGACCTGGGCTCGGTCTCCACCCCCGCCCTCCAAACCGAACCCGCCCCAGCTCCGACCGGTTAACCGTAGACAGAACCGCGCGGGCTGGGCTAAAACTCCTCCCCGGCCCCGCCCCCCCGCAGGTCCAGGAGGAAGCTCCGCCCCAAGCCCCGCCCCTGCCACAACCGCCCCGCCCTAGCACCACCCAAAGCCCCGCCCCCGCAGGTCCAGGAGGAAGCTCCGCCCCAAGCCCCGCCCTCCCCACAACCGCCCTGCCCTAGCACCACCCAAAGCCCCGCCCCGCCCCGCCCCCGAGCGCCGCAGGAGGCGGGCAGTCTCCGCTTCTCCCCTGCGCTCTGCTTGTATCATTGTCGCATTAACCTCATCCAGAAACCACTGCCTACCCCCGGTTCCCCGGCCAAAACCAGGCGCAGGGAGGATCCGAAAGAACAGTTTGGAAATGGGAGGAGCCTGTAGTGTGGATGGAGCAGGGCTCGCCGCAACCTGGGGAACAAAACTTGAGGAGAAGGGGCTCGGGTTTAACCTCCTATAAAGCACCTGTAAGTTAGGAAAGGGCAGAGGGAGAGGAGAGAATTTCTGTTTTAAGCATACGCCACCCTCCTCCGCATTCTTTAGGAAAAAAAATCTGCTTTTTAAATTCAAACTCAGCAACTCTGGCTCGAACAGTCAGTCCCAGCCAACTGGTCTACCCTGCGGCCGAGCTAGCCCCTCAACCCTAAGAGAGCCTAAAGGTCACAGCGCGAAGTCTTCTCGTGGCTGAGAAGGCTCCCAGGAGCTGCACCCTGCCTTCTCCAGCCTCATCTCCCGCTGCTTTCACAGCGCAGTGCTCAGGGGGTTCTAATCACCAGTTTCCTCCCGGCTGGTGGTTCCTCCTCCCTCTGCCTCCTCTCACACTTGGTGGTCCCTCAAGCTTAATTTTTTTTCTGTAAAGTTTTTCCTTACAACCCTGCCACCACCACTCCCTAAACACACACACACCGTGCCAAACTGTGTGAGACGCAATTCTAATTCTGCTATGTCATGTAGCAACCACCTCTCAGTATTTGTATTTGTTTACAGATCTGTTTTCCCTATTAGACTGGGTTCTTTAATGGTAGCAGTTGTATTTTGTATTATTCTCATTGCCTGGCGCACATTAGGTGCTTCATGTCTGATGAGAGTATGAAAGAATGAAGAAATAAAGGCACAACAAGAAGAAGAAAAGAAGGAACATGTATGTCTGGAGAGAGCCTGTTGTTTCTACAGTTGTTTCTCAAACTTGCTCTGCTCCAAAGGAAGAGGTAACAGGCTTATTGAAGAACTAGAGGCCCAGTGCACCAAATTTGTGCACAGGTAGGGTCTCTAGCGGCTGCCAGCTGCCCACTGGGGCCTCCCTTCCCTGGCTACTGGCTGCTGCTGGGGCATTCCTTCATTCCATGCCGTCCCCTGGTGGTCAGTGCACGTCATAGCAAGTGATCGAACTCCTGGTTGGTCGAACTCCTGAGGGGACACTTTGCATATTAGGCTTATATATATATAGAAGATAGGATAGAGTTAGAGAAAGTCCTATTCTGGAACTGAGAGATAGAGAGGGATCTCTAGATGGATAAGAATACCAAAAGTGCTCTTTTAATCGTATGGAAAAAGAAATCAGATGAGCTTGGCTTGTGTGGCTCAGTGGTTGAGCATCGACCCATGTACCAAGAGGTCACTGGTTTGATTCCCCATCAGGGCACATTCCTGGGTTTTGGGCTTGATCCCAAGTAGGGGTTGTGCAGGGGGCAGCCAAGAGATGATGTTTCTTTCTCTTTCACTGATGTTTCTCTCTATTCCTCTTCCTTCCTCTCTCTCTAAAAAAATCAATAAAAACATATATTTTTAAAAAAGAATTAGATGAACCAGTCCTCAAGGAAATCCAGAAATCCATCTCCCTTTGGGGGTTGGCTGAGATTAAAAAGGGAAAATCTGGCCGTAACCGGTTTGGCTCAGTGGATAGAGCGTAGGCCTGCGGACTCAAGGGTCCCAGGTTTGATTCCGGTCAAGGGCATGTACCTTGGCTGCAGTCACATCCCCAGAACAGGGTGTGCAGGAGGCAGCTGATTGATGTTTCTCTCTCATCGATGTTTCTAACTCTCTATCCCTCTTCCTTCCTCTCTGTAAAAAGTCAATAAAATATATTAAAAAAAAGGGGGAAATCTGTCATAACCATGGCCTCCATCCCAGCCCCATAAACCATATGTTCCATAAAGTCTGATTAAGCTGTTGCCTATATGAAGTACATTGATGGCCCCCGTGGACTCCTAATGCCACAAAATAACTCACCAGCTTGCCACAGAATAGTTGTCCCTGCCTGGTAGGCCAGACACCACCATTCTCAGGTCAGGTAACAGAGGCAGGGATGGTCTCTAGGCCATTGCTGAGGTGCAAATGTCCCTTGAGGGTAAGACAAGAACTTAAGGTATCTAAGAAAATAAAATAGATTTGATTTCTACCATTACAACCTAAGTTAATTAGCTATTTATCACCTTCGTGGGCATGAGGGCTTATTTCAAAGGGGATGAGGTGCAGGGTAAGAGTTAGTAGGAGGAGACAATAGCATACAGAAGAAACAGATCTTCAGGGTCTGGCCTGGCGCTTTAAAACACCTCTCGTTCTATCTTCACAACACATGGTAGGGTAGGTTATTTAATAACAAAATATTTTTATAACAATAGTGACATTTATGAAGACTTAGCATATGCTCACTTAAATTATCTCATTTAGGCCTCACAACCCTAGTAAGTTTAAAGATAAGAAAGCCAAGACTTGCCCTAACCGGTTTGGCTCAGTGGATAGAGCATCGGCCTGTGGACTCAAGGGTCCCAGGTTCGATTCCAGTCAAGGGCCTGTACCTTGGTTGTGGGCACATCCCCAGTGGGGGGTGTGCAGGAGGCAGCTGATTGATGTTTCTCTCCCATCAATGTTTCTAACTCTTTATCCCTCTCCCTTCCTCTCTGTAAAAAATCAATAAAATATATTTTTTAAAAAAGAAAGAAAGCCAAGACTTAGAGAAGTTACATCTGTTCAAGGTCAAACGAGTTTTAAGTAGTAGAATTTAGATTTAAAGCCCAGTCTGTTTTCATTCTTCACTACTGTATCACACAGCCTGTTGTTGTTCTCTGAGCCTTGGGGTAGCTATGACTTGCCCAAGGCCACTAGCTAATAAATGGCAGACCTGGGGCTTCAATCTAGGCCTATGTGCTTCCCAAACACACACATTTTACACAGGAAGTTAGAGCACATCCGCAGGGGGAGAGGCACAGAAAACATTTCAAATACTTCATATAAAATCTCACCTCAGGGGAACCAAGAATAACCTATATCCTAGGGAACTCAAAAAGAACGGAAGTCACTTGACACGAACTTTATTTGTTCTGGCCATCTGATATGCTGCCCACCATGCTGGAAAACAGAGACAATGCCCTCTGCAAACAGCTCGAGACATGCCAAAGTAAATACTGTGGGCCTCAAGGACAGCCCTGAAGGACAGGTTCTGTGGCTGCTGGTCAGATGCCTGATCTCAGCTCTAAATGGGTGCCGCACCCTGGAGACCAGTAACTGACTTTGCTATCCCAAGTCTTGATTACAAAGAAATATAAGTTACCCAGTTGTTGATGAGAATCAAATTCTCTTAACTGGCCATGACCAAAACATGGGACGGGGTGGGGGTGGTCCAGAGATGGAAATGAACTTGAGAATTTCTAGTAAACATCAGGCAGGGGCTGGCAACGCGCTTCCACCAGAGAAGCCCCACAAAGTAGGAGCTGCCCCAGAAGCATGTTCCTAGGAGCTCTTTGTGCTCAACAAGCCCTGCTGAGCAAGGAAGGGCTTGCTCCTCAGACACCTCCTGCCACTCACTTCAGCTTCCTCCTCAATGCAAACCCCACTCATGCAGGCTCCATGGGGCTGCTGCTTCCCCAAGCTGGTAGGGTGGAAGGGTTTCCCACCGTCAAGCGGCAATCCTTCCCCTTCTCTGGACTTTATAGAGGGCTCACAAGTTTGAGAGGCCTGAGGGAGGAGAAAATGCTGCCTGGGGTAGCCAGGCTGCTCTGCTATTCCACCTCTAGCCACCGGGGGGCCCCTGGCTCCAGAGATTCGGGGACCTGGCTCTGCTCCCAGGGAATGGTGGGAGCCGGGAAACCCATACCCAGCAGGCCCAGAGCGGCTCCTTCCCCAGCACCTGAGGGCGGGCCAGCGCACCGCCAGGTCTCAGGTTTCAGGGGGATGGCAGTTGCCTGTCTAAAGGCTTCTCTGTTCCTTGGAATTGTACAGAATGTCTCTTGTGGCTTTTCCTCCTCCCTCTTTTTTCCTGTTGACTCTCCCCAGTTGGCTTTCTGAATCACCAGACTCCAGAGGAGAGCAGCAGATGTTGACTTTACTTCTTCCAAGCCAGCGTCAGCTCCCTCCTGTGGATGGGGAGCCAGCAGGAAGATGAGAGGCAGGGGACGAGGAAGACAAGCCTCACCCTTCCCACACTGTGAAGGAGGCCGTAGGGGAATCTGAAAGGAGGCAGGGACCTAGGCAACAAATTCCCGATTCCCGAGACTGGAGAAAAAGGCCCTGTTGGCCGTGGAACCGTGGTCATGAGGAGGGAGCAGACAGAGGGAGTGCTCCTAGTCGGGGTGCCAGCGCCTCTTGTCTGAGGTGAGGCCTCATCTCCTGCCAGCAGCTTCCTCATGACTCCAAAGTCAAGTCAGGGCTCAGGCGAGGGGAGGCCGTCCAGGGGCTGATTCTCGTCCCCTCGTCCCCTCGGAGCCCCCGGCCTCCGTTCTTTTGCGCGTCTTTCGGAGAAGCTTCCAGGGAGGGCTTTCCAGGACTCTATTCTACATTCATTGCTCCGGTTTCTCTTCTCTTTTTTCTTCCTCGGGGATCTTCTTACGGGCAAAGAAGCCAAGCTGTACAGGA